TTAAACCACACATATCCTTAAAAGGTAAGTTAACCTATAAGTATTCCCAGGTTTCTTGGCAAAAAAACATGTACAGAGGATGGTTACATTCCACCATGTATGTTAGTGTGTGTTAGGGGAAAGGCAAGAGAGATGTTAAATTCGAAGAATACAGGGTTATTGTCAGAAGGAATTTATAATTAATAACTTGCCTGAACCTCCCATATCCTTTATTAACATATATTTTAGTTCCCCTTTCTTATTGCCCCACAAAAATCATGGTTTCTTTATTTTAATATCTCTTGAATATCATTATTTTTCTCTTATATCTGTTATCCCAACTTCATTCTCTAACTAAAAGTAAGCAACACACAACAAATTTAGTTCTAAAAGGTGCCATATTAAATGGCAATAACTAGACAAAAATTGAGAGAAGCTAACTTCCTAGCAACAAATAATTTTCTGTAAATTTTGGAATTAAAACTGTACATGAACATTTATTATTTTAAGTAAGATCCTTTATAATAAATTTGGTTTGTGAAAGTGTTAACTGCTGAGAAATTAAAAATATCAATGTCTATAAAATTTTGAAAAGAACATTTCCATTGAAATCTATTGATTGAGGGTTATAGAAAACTTTACTACTCAAACTGGTTCGAGTTAAAAATAATTTTTTAAAAAAAGTTATTTGCAAGTTATACCTTTTCTGGAAACGTCAACCTACTTCAGTTCCCTATCAGACATCATTATGAGCCAAAAACCATGGCAGCGTGTGGCAGCCTGGCTGCCAGGTGACACGTACATTTTTCCCAAGGGCCAGAAAACACCCGGTGGGGACAAACAGGCTACTGATAAGCACAGAACAACCGAGAGCTACAGACCTGCCACGGTAAAGAAAACAACGCTGCTGGAAAGCAGGATCTCAGTTTAAGCTCAGTAAATTTAATCTTCTCCGCTTCTTTTCATTCCTTTCTTACAGATGTTCATAGGAAAGAAATACACAGACACACCCCACATCAGACTGAGACAACTCTGAGGCAGACAACTGTGTTCCACTGGACTTATAAGAGGAAGAAAAGAGAAAAGGAGATGGGTATGGATGTCTGCAAAGAAAGGGGTGAGGGTGCAGAAGGGGAAGTATGTCCACAAAGACAGAACTAGTGCATATGGAGAATGGTGAAATGTGTTGCCAATTGGAAAATGCTGCTTTAAATTTAACACTAAACAAGGTTTTAGAAACTAATGGCTTGACTACTGAATTATGAACCAAGACTCTCCGGGGACCCAGAACTAACAAGCTGGGAACACAGCACTATGGGTTCATGTGAGTTGGCCTATTTCTAGAGAAATGAAAATGACTAATTTATGAAGACTTTAAAGTAACAGATTAGAAGAATGACCATTGTATAAGAGGGCAGGGGAAAATTCTGCCTTGACAATCTGACAGTTGCAAATGAACATCCATTTCCCCTAATTCAATCTTGGTTTCCTTTAGCTAAATGTTTCCTTTCTTCACCACCCCTTTTATACACCAAATGGAAGGGCTGTTTAGAGCTAACTCACTGGTCCTAAATAAAAAGAGAGCTAAACAAAAAGATCTTTCTCACTGGCATGAAAAATCTTCAAGGTGGCTGTGAAATGCTCCCAGCAGTGAGCTGAGCATGGCTGATGGGCTTCATGGAGACAGGAGCCTGACTGTAGAGACAGGGCAGGGCCTGCGCTCCACAAAGGCTGCCCCTGTGAGGCTCAGCATCAAAGGGATCAAACTTGGAACCGTTGGGGTCCGTTGCTATTTCTACATCAAAACCATTAGTGAATAAAGCAGATCCGGAGAAACATTGGCTAAGGAAGCCTCAGAAACCACATGAAACAGAAACACAGGCTTGTGAATTCCTCAAAAAAAAGAAGAATATTCCTCAAGAAAGAATATATATTTCAACTGTGTGAAGAGAAAGCTGGTTTGGTATCTCAACTCCCCAACTAGGTAGCCTCCTCAGGTGTCATCTCAGTCTGAGTGCTTAGCAAGATCAGGAGCAAGCACCACTCTCACCAGTAAGCGAGGCGCTCAGCCAGGCTCTTGGGGGAAGGCTCTCACTTTCCCTCCTTGCATCCCCTCAATTCATAGAACAAAAGTGAAATGAGCGTTAAAAATGAAAACCAATAAAAGAAATAAATATTTAAAAATTGAAACCAATAAAATGATGGGGTACAAAGAAATAAAATCATTTGCCTCTCCTGCGATGGCTTTGCTCACATTCCAAGACTGTTTTTAAAAGGCAGTAACAGGAAAAATCACTACCCAACCCAGAGCAGGCAGTCATTTCACCCATTTACCCGTGTTCTTAAGCTGCAGGTCACAATGTATGAGGTCATAGCAACAATTTAGTGGTTGCTATCATCATTTTTCTAAATGAAGTCAAATAGAATAGAAAGAAAAATATCAGTGTGTTTTGCAAGAAGTAAAAGTATTGGTTCCTGAAACTTTATTTCAAAGTATATGTGTATGTATGTACTGGGTCCTGTTATAAAATGTTATTTCTTACAGTGAATTAAAATCTAAAAAAGTATAAAAACCACTGAGCTGCTGAAAACTGCAAAGAACCAGACCAGGGCAGTATACTATAGACAGATTATGTATGGATCAAATATTTATGCCTGTGAAGAAGCTCATGGGTCAACTGAGGAGCCTCAGTCAATATACAAAAATTACTCACAGAGTTATCTAAGAACTCTCACAGCGTCCCTGAGCTGAGAAATGCAAGCTCAAGGTGTGAAAACAGGAAAGTCACCACTGAAACTGACCTGAGAGAAAATGCTGCCCTATATACATAGTCCCCTCTAGCTTTTATCAATATAAAATAAACCTGGACTCTGGAAGGAAATGAGTTTCTATTTCTAGAATGTCACTGACCATGGCTACAACCAAAGGACTCATTCATTGACTGGGAGATCAAGCCTTATAGAACAAGAGTAGGTGAAGACGTTATAAGAAAAAAGAAACCGCCCTAGCTGGTTTGGCTCAGTGTTTAGAGCAGTGATGGCGAACCTATGACACACGTGTCAGAGGTGACACGCGAACTCATTTTTTTGGTTGATTTTTCTTTGTTAAATGGCATTTAAATATATAAAATAAAGATCAAAAATATAAGTCTTTGTTTTACTATGGTTGCAAATATCAAAAAATTTCTATATGTGACACGGCACCAGAGTTAAGTTAGGGTTTTTCAAAATGCTGACACGCCGAGCTCAAAAGGTTTGCCATCACTGGTTTAGAGCTTTGGCCTGCAGACTGAAGGGTCCCAGGTTTGATTCCGGTCAAGGGCACATGCCCAGGTTGCAGGCTCCATCCCCCGTGTTAGGTGTGCAGGAGGCAGCCAATGATTCTCATCATTGATGTTTCTATCTCTCTCTCCCTTCATCTCTGAAATCAATAAAAATGTATCAGAAGAAAGAAACCACTCTTCTAGTCCTGCCAAGCTAGCCCGTCCTTCCTAGCACAACTAACCAAGGTGATGGACTCTCTATGCTGAGAGTATCTGCATCCTTGTATTCCTACCCACTCCTGACCCCTGGCATAGTCACACGCTTTGTCCATCCCCATTCAGTCTACTCAAATAGCCCAATCCCAGCTATACAGGAGGAAAGGAAGCCTAGCACAAGAGACAAGTCCTTCCTAAGTGGAGACAGCAACACCAGACAGGCAATATGATCTCTTAGGATATGCCATAAGACCTGTGCTCTCTTTGCGAGTTTACTTGATAAGAGAAGCAAATGATATTCTCCAGATCTCATAACATTGAGCCAGACCTGTCTTCACATTCCCAAAATTCCTTAGAAAGTAGGAAACATGCCTGGCCAGTGTTGCTCAGTGGTTGAGCATCTACCCATGAACCAAGAGGTCACTGGTTCAATTCCCAGCCAGGGACAAGCCTGGGTTGTGGGCTCGATCCCCCGTGGGGAGTGTGCAGAAAGCAGCTGATTGATGATGTTTTTCTCTCATCATTGATGTTTCTATCTCTCTCCCCCTTTCCCTCCCTCTCTCTCTAAAAATCAATAAAAACATATTTTTTTAAAAAGTAGGAAACACGATCTGTCCCACTTAGCAATAATGGCTAAGCCTAAGGAAATACAAAATTCTTCACTTGTCTCAACTCTAATAAGCGCATGCCCTAGCCAGTGTGGCTCAGTTGGATGGATGTCGTCCCAGGCACCAAAAGATTGCCAGTCAGGGCACATGCTCCAGTTGCCGACTTATTCCCCAGTGGGGGGTGTGCAGGAGGCAGCCAATCAATGGTTCACTCTCACATCAATGTTTCTCCTCCCTTTCTCTCTCTCTCTCTCTCTCTCTCAAAAAATCAATTAAGAGATACATATATTTTAAAAAACAACAACATTAATTATCCATCATCTTATTGTTCCTTTTAGAAAGGAATGGCTAGAGATAATCCTAGAACACCTTCCTGCTAAGAAAGAAAAAAGGATTTCTACCCTTGAACATAATCATTCTGTAAAAGCATGGCGAGATGCAAGTATCACATTCCTTCTATTTTATTTTATTTAAATATATTTTTATTGATTTCAGAGAGGAAGGAAGAGGGAGAGAGCGATGGAAACATCAATGATGAGAGAGAATCATTGATCGGCTGCCTCCTGCACACCCCACACTGGAGATCGAGCCCACAACCCAAGCATGTAACCTTGCCTGGAATCAAACCCCTACCCTTCAGTCTGCAAGCCGACGCTCTATCCACTGAGCCAAACCAGCCAGGGCACATTCCTTCTATTTCAGAAAGGGAGACAGGAGGCAAGGAGACAAGCCAATTGCTTAGGGCCTTGCAGCACAGCAGCAGAGGCAGGGATGGGCACTGCTACAACCTTGTGTGTTTTCAACTTCCTAGACTATGTTCCTTTAACTCCATCAGCTGATGTTCAGAGCCGAGGGTATATACTGCCTCTGAGAAAGTTCAAATACAAGAAAAGTTGGTATATGTATATACAGTTAATAAGTATGAGATTGGTACCTGTAAGAGAGCATGCTGCATCGTCACCTCCAGTTCGGCTAACACATGGGCAGCATCCTCACTGTCCTCTTGGACCTCCAGGTCCTCCTCAGGGATGGTCTCCCAGGCGCCCTGGTGAGCAACGGGAGTGTGGCTGACCCGAGTCTGAGTCCCATAGGTGAAGCGGAGGCGCCGAAGCTTACAGCTCTCCTCACTGCCCAGCTTGGTGGTAGGAAGCACCTGCACCCCCAATAGCAGGTTCAATAGCTGGCACTTGACATTACAATCCTGGCCGAGGATCAAGATGCAGGGGAGGCAGTCCACAATCTGCTGGAGGTACTTCTCTTCCTTAGGTGGGAAGGAAATGCAGCTCAGCTGGCCTGGTTGGGGAAGGGGAGGGTGGAGAAGGAGAAAGGACAGAGAGAAGAGTGAGGAGGAGTAGAGAGAGATTCATACAGAGACCCCATTGGGATGCCAGGGTCCTAGAGAAAAAATTCCTAGGAAGCTCTTGGTTGAAGGAGACATCAGGAAAACATCCCAGTCAGAAAAGGCTCCTCAAATATCAAACCGAATTCCCCTCCCTGGCTCGTCCCCAAAGCAGTTGTTTCTATCCAGAAAGGTAGCAGTGACCTGATCTACCCTCCCCCTCCTTCTCCATCCAGGGAAGGGACAGCCTAAGGAGTTTACAAGACTCAGTCACAATCACAAGATCATTAAACTGACAAAGCCATTAACTGGGATGTGAGTCCAAGGAGAAACCACACCTGAATATGTTAAAATGAAAACCTTCCTTAGGACAGAAGATCTAATACTTGAACATATTCGACCTTTTTAGATGTCACTACCATGTGAAGTTTTAGCTTGTTATTTTCCTCTTTGATGACATATTTTATAACTAAATGTATGGGACTCTCTAAATACACACATATTGAAATAAAAAGTTACTTAAGTTTAGATAAGCTCTAGGATCTTTTCTGGCTCATCTCTCTGAGAGCTGGAGATAGCACCCAGTTGCCAAGTCATCTGTTTTCTGAAAGCATCAGGTACTCAATTAAGATCGATATCTCCTAATCAAATCACATTCCCGTGTATGGACAGGGAAAGAACTGCCTGTTAGGATCCAGGCAAATCTAGGAAGAGATGTGATTTATTTAAAAAACATTCTTTCAAGACAACCACACTTCCACAAACAAGTCCAATAGTGTTCAAGACAGAACAAAAGACTTCCTAAAGCATGAAGACCCCTGTTTGAGGAAAGGAACCAGAAGTCAGTTGACTGAAACTCAGATTCTGAACTCCATCGTTCCCCCACTTGTCCAGTGCCAGTGCCTGCCTATCTCTATGATTCAGGCAACCCTTGAGTTTGTTCAGAAGGGCACAGACACATGGTTCTTAGGCTGTAAGAAGGCTGATCTGACATACATCTTAATTGAAATTTGCGGTGGCACCAACAAACAGTATTCCCTTTAGTCACTTAACCACGAGCTGCAAACCTTCCATACATTGTTTATTTGTTCCTATACATGAAGCAAGAGAGCCCAGACTCATTGAAGAGGTTGGTCTACTTTAGGGTGTACCTATCCTGCCACATCATTAAACCTTAAACCTCCTTCTCTTCCACAAATGGCACCACCAAACGGTTTACAGGGGTCCACTTCCACCCAGACCCCCGTGTGCATTTCAGGGAGCCCTTCCTTTCAGGTCTGTCTGCAAGCACACCACCTGGCTGCACATGCACGTCAGCAAAGCTGAAGCAAGGAAGTCTATGCTTCTGGGGAAGAGACGGGTCCTTTGAAAAAGCAAAGAGCGTAAATGAGGGCCTAATTCTGTGTAAGGATTTACTAAACGCAAGAGTAAAACACCAGACCACTGGTCTAACCGTGAACTACCATCGAAAGCAATGGGACACAGCCAATTTCTTGTATGACCACTTAGCACGCAGCAATGGACTTGTCCTGAGTGCCTGCATATCTTGTTCACAGCTAAACACTTGTCACAGTCTACTCTAGTTATCTTGTTTATAATTAGCGGAACACCCAACACGACGACAAAAACATAGTAAGTACTTTATGTTACACCTTTGTTCGCTCTGTGCAAGAACCCATTTATTGTGGAGAATTGTTTACAAAAAGCTGTAAGTATTCTGCTAAAGACTCAGGAAAGTCCAGTACCATGATGAATCACTTAGGAGCGACTAACATTCCTAAAAACCTCCTTCATCTCAACATGGACAACAGAACAGGATCTCCCCAATGACCTTGCAGAATTCATTTAACTACCGAACTCTCCGCCTGAGCAGTGAGAAGTCCAACTAGATTCACTCTCATCTACGCTTCCTACCTTTCCTCTCTTCTCAGTCCTCCTCAGATCCTCAGATAGGTGTCAATTCATTCTGACAAACTTCATAACTCCTAAAACAAAAGTTGGTACATAATAAAAACCTGAATGAGATTTGTTATTGCTGCAGCTAGGAGAGTGGGTAATCCTATATAATAAAAGGTTAATATGCAAATTGACCAAACAGCGGAATGACCAGTCACTATGACACGCACTGACCACCAGGGGGCAGGCACTCAATGCAGGAGCTGCCCCCTAGTGGTCAGTGCGCTCCCACAGGGGAAGCACAGCTCAGCCAGAAGCAGGGCCCTCGGCTGGCAAACGCAGCAGGGGTGGCGGGAGCCTTTCCCACCCCCATGGCAGCACTAAGTACCCCTCGGGGGAGCGGGCCTAAGCCAGCAGTCAGACATCCCCCAAGGGATCCCGGACTGCGATAGGGCACAGGCTTGGCTGAGGGACTCCTCCCCACCCCCAACTGCAAGAATGTTGTGCACCGGGCCTCTAGTAGATAATGAAAATCAACTAAGCATTTTCAGCACCAGAGGGAGAGATCTCAACATCTCTGAGACACTGTCAGCTATAGGAAAGCCAGTAAAACATGCTCTACGTGAGCCAAAAACCACAGCACACACCCCATTATTCATCAGACCCAAATCACCACGCACACACAAACACACCTCTGTAGTGACAAAAACAGTTACTACAAATAGTACCACTGGGGCCGACACTGAAACCAGTTTTAATTTTTGTTTCCATGCACAACTAGGGTTCTATGTGCAATCATTTTCACTGAAGAAAGCTCTTATATGGATATTACCATTGGTTTTTCAATATCTCATTATCCAAGCCCTTTGCTTCTCCTACAAATTTTTAACTTTTTTTGTTTATATTTTTTTATTGCTTTCAGAGAGGAAGGGAGGGGAGAGAGAGAGAAACATCGATGAGAGAGAATCATTGATCGGCTGCCTCCTGCACACCCTGCCCCCACCGGGGATCAAGACCACAACCTGGAGATGTGCCCTTGACCAGAATCGAACCTGAGACCTTTCAGTCCACAGACCGATGCTCCATCCACTGAGCTAGAGCAATCTTTAACTTTTTTATTTATCTCCAACGTGTCTACAAGATTTGAACAAGGGCGTGGAGAGAAGTGAAGGTGAAACTAGACTGTTTCACTCCTTGATTCTCTCAGCAAATGGTTCATGGTTCTGTGAGGAGGAGTGCAGCATCGAATTGGAAACAGCACTAGAGAAGGGAGATATCCTGGTCCCTGGCTTCACCACTGATTAGCTCTGTGACCTTGACAACTCACTTGCTTTGTCTCAGCCTTGGATTTCTCATCTCTGAACTAAGGGATTTCAGTGGTTCTCAACCTTCTGGCCCTTTAAAACAGTTCCTCGTGTTGTGACCCCCCAACCATAAAATTATTTTCGTTGCTACTTCATAACTGTAATGTTGCTACTGTTATGAATCGTAATGTAAATATCTGATATGCAGGATGGTCTTAGGTGACCCCTGTGAAAGGGTCGTTCGACAGCCAAAGGGGTCTCGACCCACAGGTTGAAAACAGCTGGATTAGATCATCTTTAACATCCTTTCCAGTCCTAAAATTCCAGGATTCCATCAGGTTTTAACTGTTGAAGGAAACATAACTGAGGGGATGGGTGGTTGGTCTGGTTGTTTTTACTTTAAGTTATATGTGAATTTAATTATGCACGCTCTCCCTGGGCTACTACTGAAACTGCAGATCAAAAAACATGACTGAACTAGCCAGGGGCTCTGAGGACCTACAGTGCAGTGCTAGCAGTTCGCTAAAGAAGATGAGAAACTGTAGACTGTCAGGAGGAGGAAGGAAGAAAACCTTCTTCAGAGGTGGAGCAGCTGCCCCACTGACAGTTAAAGGACTTCAGAGTTAATCGGGTTTTCTTTGTAATTAATATAACAGCATCTGCATATGGGCTGCCAGAAGGCAACGGTAGGGCTTCCCAGCTGGAGCACATTAACCCTGCCAACTCTGCTGTAGGAAAAGTCAACTCAAATTCAAGTGCAAGCTAAGGCTTATTTTTCTCTCGGTAGTTCCTAAATACAGATTTTCTTGATTGCGATTAGAGCTGGCCCTTGAACAATGTCAACAAAAAAATATAGGGGCTCCAACAACCTGCCAGTTGACCCTTGAATAACGTGGGTTTGAACTGACCCACTCAGTTCGATTGGAAAAAGGCACGTATAAGTGGACCCAAGCAGTTCACACCGACGTTGTTCAAGGGTCACCTGTACTTCTGAACAAAGCTTTCAAACCAGAAGGAGAAGAGCAACTAAAGTAGCAACCCATTTTGTTCATTTGTTTTAGATAATGAAGGGGAGCAAAATATACCACTCCAAAATGCCTCTGGCATGTTGATTGATTTTAAGCTGGTTATTTTTAAGAAACAGCAGACTCGACTCAGGTGAAGCTCTGAAAACTGAGCAGAAGTTACCCTTTCGTAAGAAACATTTATAAGGGAAATCTCCTTCGTAAGGGTATCTTCCTCTCGGTAGCAGAAAAAAGATGACTCTAAATCTCTAGACACTCTTATCAATGAAGAAGGGAAAGCTTAGATCTGCATTAACAACCTTACCCGTGTGTACCATGCTTTTCCTGGTGACCTCCCATAACTCCCCACCCCCAACAACATCTGTCTCTAGCTGATGATATTTAAAGTGGTAACTTGAACCATTTCAGAATTACTCACTTTTCCTGAGCTTCTCCCATGTATACAGGAGGTATGCATATTATCAAATTTCTGTTTGTTTTTCTCCTGTTAATGTCTCTTTATTATGGGGGGGGGGGAGGGGAGAGTCTACACCAAGAACCTAAAAGGGTAGAGGAATTATTTTTCCTCCCATAGTAACATTTACTGTACCCTTTCTAAGTACATAACTTGAATTGCCTCATGTCATTTAATGTTCCTGATTCTACCAGAGAATGAATATTACCCCCATCTATACTAATAAAAGGGTAATATGCTAATTAGACCGGGTCAACCGGCCATCTTCTGGGCAT